AACTATCTAAATCGCTATATTCCCAATTTGGCAACTATTTACGGGCCATTTAGATAGAGACCTCTGCCGCTCTGTGTTTCTTCAGCGTACTTGATCGTACATTTCAGGGGAAACATGTTAGAAGGGTATAACTCAAAACGTAAACAATGACTTTGAACGTCGATTTCTCTTGAATGACCACACACCCACGAAATCTGACTACACCAGCTCATAGTTAGTTTGAGTGGGTGTGTTGACATTCGTAAGAAACCAACTATCCAAGTCATTGCTTACGTTTCGAGTAAGACCCTTCTGACATGTTTCCCCTGATTTGTTATGGCGGATGCTATCTGCTTATACAAGTTGATGGGGGAGGAGAACATGGCATAATAAGTTATCCTTTTAAATCATTAACAGATACAGAACGGTGGTATTGTCATACAGAGAAGGAAGCCCTTGCGTGTGAAGAAATTTGACATTTACTTTTACGGGAAATAAATTGAATTGTTAACCGACTCTAAGGTTTTGATCTATCTCTTCACTCATCGTTCCAGACCATGCGCTAGAATAGAGCGGTGGGTCTTGAGCAGTCTTGTAAGTGGTCACCGTAGTCGACATATTTTCTGTGATAATCTACAGCCTTTGCTTCCGACACTTGCAAAACAGGCTATCAAATTACAGTACCAAACTAAAACGTCATATGACAGGCTCTGTCATACGACACTGTTGCCGAAGACCGTCACGAATGTATGTATTTTAGTTTTTCTCATAATAAAAGCTGCTGATGTTGTGCTTGTGTGAATTCTGAAAATAGCAAGCAACAATGCCCTAATAATAACATTTCTGATCAGAAATGGTTTAATTTACACCAAATTGAGGAATTAGAACGAAATCACACATGTCATATGATAGTAATTTGAACTCTTTCTTTTTGCTCGAATATTGTTCTACCGTTTGTGTTGTGTAAGAGAGACGACGGTAGAGCATGAGAGTACGAATAAAAACAGACGGTCACGCATGACAAGGAAGCGAGTGTCGTATAAAACGTCAACAGCTTCAACCCCTGGTCTTGAGGATTCAAAGTTTTGAATATTCTATTACTTACATCCCAGGAGATCACAATGTTGCAGATGTGCTGTCAGAGAAATTGCAAATTTGTCTGCAGGTGCTGTGGCTATCGAGTGAGAAGAGTTAGTTGATGCCACTAAGCAGGATACAGAGCTTCAACAGCTAATGAAAAGTCTTCAAAACATCAGTCTGCAGGAGCTGCCAGTCAATTTTCGTATTTTTGCGAATGAGCTATGCCATAGAGGTAACTCTAATAGTACGTTCAGACTACAGAGTTATAACATGTTATAGCGCTATCTTGATGGTGGTTCCTGTGTTGCAATTATTTGACAACCGTTATAACATGTTATAACTCTCCAGTCTGGACAGCGTTTAAGACTAGTAGGTCCCGAAGAAACGTGCTCAACTTTTTGGCTCAGCTCTGGTACTATCTTTGGTCCCAAGCTAATCGATTCACCCCTCGAAACATAGGAAATTCCACTAACCCCTCATTTTATCTGTCAAACTTTCATAGTGAATCAAAACAAACATTGTGCAGTACTAGAATTTTTCCTAGAATGGGGTACGTTAATCAATTTCCTTGGGACCAATAGGCTAGTCAAGTAGTCGATAGATCGAATCGATAGTTTCATATTGATTATTGGCTATGCTGTGTTGGAGAAGTCTTAATGCGAATTGATCGTGTGGTGGTTCCGGATAAGTTGCGTAGTCGTGTATTGCAGATAGCGCATGAAGGTATGATGAAAACATTCTTACGCGCAGTGGTTTGGTGGCCTAAAATGGACAGACAGATAGAGGTGTATGCGAAGAGATGTCAACCCTGTATTCTGGTAGCCCGCCCGATCTTTCACATGTTTCGTAAACCGCTTAACTTCCTTCAGGCCTTTGGGAAGAAATAGCAATAGATATTTTGGGACCCGCTGCCGAAGGGTCAATATTTATTGGTAGTAGTTGACTATTACAGTCGTTTTATTTAATTGGCTGCTGTAGAGTTCAGTAATATCAACAATCAATACGAAACTAACGATTTTAAATTGGCTCACTACTTAACTAGCCTATTGGTCCCAAGCAAACGATTAACGTATCCCATTCTAGTCGAAATTTTACTACTACAAAATGTTTGTTTTGATTCGCTATGAAAGTTTGACAGATAAAATGAGGGGTTAATGGATTTTCCTATGTTTCGAGGGGTGAATCGATTAGCTTGGGACCGAAGATAGTACCAGAGCTGAGCCAAAAAGTTGAGCACGTTATTGCGCGTTTCACACCAAATTGGACTAATAAGCGCGTTTTCACTTATTAAAAAGTGTGATAAAACTGCAAGTTTACGTCTAATCGTCTTGGTGTTTTCGGTGCACTTATTTCTTATAATGCAAGCAATAAGTGATCCGAAGACATCAAAACGATTTGACGGAAACGTGCACTTTTATCACACTTTTTGCATTTTTAGAACAGTCCAGTTTCAGATGCAATCAGCAATATTTCGGGACCTTCTTGTCTTAGAGTTACCTCAATGGTAATATTATGCGTTAAGCAAAGGTACGTCTCTGTATGGTTGGACTAAAATACATCCCTGTATACGTGTGATAGTATTGGAGAAAAATAGGAAGGTGAGGATGATCACAAGCGGTATCGAGTTAGTTGCGAAACGAATATCACTGGAGGTGGACGGCAGTAGCTGGTTGACGCAGAACGAACCAAGAGGCATCGGGCGATTCTACAGCTGCAATGACGACTATAACAGCAAAAAATACAGTTAGTGAGCTGGCTACCATGTTGAGCAGGTATGGTATTCCTCGCATTTTGCGGGCAGACAACGGACCAGCGGTGATTACGAGGAGTTCCGAGAGTTATGTCAGAAGTTTGGCATCGAATTAGTGAATACAACACCATACTGGCCTCAGACTAACGGTGAGGTGGAGCGTCAGAATCGTACTTTTCTGAAACGTTTACGCATCGCTCAAAAATTAGGTCAGGACTGGCGCAGGGAACTACGAAAATTCTTGCTGGCGTATCATGCTACTGATCACTCTGTGACAGGGAAATCACCTTCGGAAATGATGTTCGGACGTCGCATAAGAAGTAAATTATTAACTGTCCCTGCAATTATTCTCAATGATGTTGAAACACGAGATCTGCGCCGTTTATGGAAAGAGAAAGGGAGGGTGTACGCAGATGCGAGACGAAAGGCCCGTTCGAATCCAATAACGGTAGGGATCGGCGGTAAGCTTGCAGTTAATAGTATCCGGTAAGAAGTAAAACGTAACAAGGTGCATCTTAAGATGGAAGAGGTAATTCAAGGACAAGCTTCACTACGGGACTCGAAGGAAGATTGGAGGGATCTACAGTATGGAGAAGAATTGCTTACGGATGAATCTGCGGAAAGAGATGGAGATAAAGCGAAGGTGAATGATTTGCCTTCATCTACGAAAAGGATGAGAGTTGAGCCGAAGAAGTTTAGAGACTATATACCCTATTAAATACAAAAGTTTTATTAAAAGAAGGGTGGGATGTAGGGTATTGCCCCTCAGTGTAGAGAGGGCTGAACTTGTAGAGAGAGGATGGATATCCAAAAAACAATTTGAGTTGATTAACAGCTGAATAAGCTTATTTTTGCCTGAATAATCTCTTATTAAACATTCAATGTTTGATGGGTAGTGTTAAGCGAGCTATTTTCCTATGTTTTGAGGGGTGCATGATTAGCTTGGGACCGAAGAGAGTGCCAGAGCTGAGCCAAAAAGTTGAGCATGTTTCTTCGGGACCGTCTAGTCTTAGAGTTACCTCTATGGATGAACTGGCTTCTTGTGGTTAGTTAAGTGCTGAATGTTAATCTTACAAAAATGCTCTATTTTTGCAAAGACCATTTAAACACCATACTGTTGTTTATGACTTATTGTGAACTGTAGATTGTATGATTCGATGAAACTAAACGAAATAAAATTGGTTCAGTGTGTAAAGATTGTGTTTCATAATACATTGCATATACAAATCTCTAACATGTAACACCCCCATATGATTTACACACTGATTAATTACGTTTTTTGCTGTAAACTATACATTTTTAAAAGCTTTTTCAATATTTATACAATCATTTTCTAGGATTCTGATCTAGAGGAAAACGGATCAGAAAAATGCATCCTTGGTGCAATTAATTTTTGCCTTCTGGATCACTAAAAAATAGATATTTTGCTATAGGAACCATTTCGTATGAAGAATTGTAATACGTACTCCTTACAATGAATCCACACTTCATTTTAAATAAATTTATTTTTGATTTTATCAATTGAAAATCAACGAACCATGGAGCAAACAACAACAAACACATCACTAGCAACCGACCATAAAACTAAACCTACTTGGATGAAAATTAAGTTAAGATTTAAAATACCTTAAAAATACTTAAGAATACTTATGAGATATTTAAAAATATTTAATATTTGAATGGAACTGAAGTTTAGAGTGGGATGCCCCTAGGGTCTGCATGTACTATTAGCACCGACGAACTATTAGTGCAATCATATCGAGAATAATATATGAGTTTTAGGAACGGATCAATGCAATCAGAAATGCCATAAAAATTCTATTTCACTAAAGAGCCTAAATTTATAAAGAGGCGACATGTCAAAATTGGAACAATCGATTGTCGGTCAAAGTCATAGGAAAAGTCATTCCAATCGAGCAGAAGACCTGTCAAATGGATAAGGTGTCGGCTCTTTATAAATTTAGGCTCTTTATATTTCACGAGTCAAGCACATCCCGTGATCTAACGATTCGGTCATTTTGCAGATGTATCTCATCTGCACAGTCATCATGCTTTTATTGAACTACACCATATACATAAATCTTGGGACGGTAGATGCCTACCCCTCACATCTACGTTGACATCTGATATGCACTAAACGCGCCACCGCGCGAGAATCAGAAACTGTCAAACTGGGGAAAACAAACGCAAGTCAAGTCGCATTATCTTTTATGCGTGGTTACTTTTTGCAATCCAATCCGCTGTTTTCTTGAATTTTTCTGGTTTTAAACGTAAGTTTCGCAATAATAGTAAGCGTTATTTCATCTTCCAGCCTACAGGAACAATTTCCGTCTGCCTACAGGTACTGATCAATCCGCCAAAGCGATCACTATGTTCGGTACGCCAACCCTAGGCGGAGCGTCCGCTTTCGGTGGAACCACAACGGCTCCGACGAATCCGATGAAGGATTTCGAAGTGACTTCACCACCGGACGATACCGTGTCGGCAATGGAGTTTAGTCCGCCTACAATGCAGCAGAATTTTTTGATTGCCGGCAGCTGGGACTGTAGCGTTCGCTGCTGGGAGGTAGAACAGACCGGCAAAACGGTAGGAAAGTCCATTAAGACCATGGGCGGTCCAGTGCTGGATGTTTGCTGGGCCGATGACGGAAGCAAAGTGTTCATCGCTTCGGCTGATAAGCAGGTTGGTTGTTGGAGTATATATTTTAAAACTAAACACACGTCTAATCCTGGCATACTTTTAGGTTAAATGCTGGGACTTGGCTTCGGATCAGGTAGTTCAAGTAGCTCAGCACGATGCTCCCGTCAAAACATGCCATTGGGTTAAGGGAACCAACTACACCTGCCTGATGACTGGCTCGTGGGATAAAACTATGAAATTCTGGGACACTCGGACGCCGCAACCGATGATGTCGATTCAACTTCCGGAACGGTGCTACTGTGCCGACGTTGATTATCCGATGGCTGTCGTTGGAACAGCCGGAAGACACGTTCTGATCTATTCCTTGGAGAATAAACCAACTCAATACAAGCAACAGGAAAGCCCACTCAAGTATCAGCACCGAACTGTTTCCATTTTCCGCGACAAGAAGAAAGCTCCTACTGGATATGCGCTGGGTTCAATTGAAGGCCGCGTTGCCATTCAGTATGTAAATCCGATCAACCCTAAGGACAATTTCACTTTCAAGTGTCACCGATCGAATGGCGCCAACGGTTACCAAGATATCTACGCAGTAAACGATATCGCATTCCACCCTGTACACGGAACTCTGGCCACCGTCGGTTCGGACGGTACCTTCAGCTTCTGGGACAAGGACGCGAGAACCAAGCTCAAGTCTTCGGAAACGATGGATCAATCTATTACCAAAAGTTGCTTTAACGCAACCGGACAGATCTTTGCATACGCCGTTGGTTACGATTGGTCCAAGGGCCACGAGTACAACAACCCCCAGAAGAAAACCTACATTTTCCTGCGTTCCTGCTACGAAGAGCTCAAACCGCGAGCAACTAACTAAACCTCTCTAGAAATTAGAATGTGAATTATCACAGCTTGATACGATCAATAAATCCTATACGTTGGAGCTTAACATTTTGCACCTTCCACGGTTTATTTTAAGTTTTAAAAAGAAAGTTTTCCCTAACTTCAACGATCGTTCACCGTCCTCTTTGTTTCCTAGTGATGACCATGCTTATCATCGCCATGATCACCATGTCCATGACCGTGGTAATCAACTCCCAGAGCGAACTCAACACCAATAGTGGCCACAAAGGCGGCAAAGCCCAGCGGGAATCCCTTGAACAAGAACGAAATCAACCGGGAGCGATGGGTCGAGAACTGCTTCAAATTGTAACGCCACACTTCGTTCCTTAGCCAGGGATCCTTCAGGCCACGGCGAGCCAGAGCCCGCTCAACTTCCACCAGCTCCGGAGCATCCGACACCTTGTAGATCGAAGCATCTGGCACCTTGTACGGTGGTCCGTGGCCGTGTCCACCCATGGCTTGTGGTTGACAGTAACCTAAAATGGTCAAATCGTAAAACGGTGGTTCCACGATCATTGATTATTTGGTAAACAAAACAAGACAGCAAGAACAGGAACACCGCAAATGGTGAAGTTACATAATTTTAGTGGAGTTACTATTGTCGTCGAACAACGCAAATTGCAAAAAATTCAATGACAAGCATATGGCAGATTGCAAAGGCAAAAGATCTTTACCTACCGTAGGAAGAAAATTAGGAAAATATCAAATATTTGAACTAATTTCCGATGGATTACCGCTGATGAGAAACGTTCGCAACGATGGAGAAAAACTTCGACAGCGACAACAGGCACGCAAGAAGTTTCGTCTTGACACCAGTGTGGCTAGAAAAGCGATTTAATTTAGTGGGGGATAGGACAAAAATCAACATGAAATATTTCAAGTGAAATTCACAATCAGAGATTTTTAATGATGGTGGGAGTTAATGAGTATAACCAGTGTAACCATATATGGTATGGTAAGCGGCGCCGGTGGTGTAGTGGTAAGCGTGATTACCTCTCACCCCAGCAGGCCTGGGTTCAATCCCAGTCGGCGCCGCCGGGATGTTCTGAGGCATAACATCTCTGATCACGCCTTCCTTCGGATGGGAAGTAAAGCCGTTGGTCCTCGGTTCATGAGTTGATGGGTCGATAGGTAGGGTCCAGGTGTGGGAGCTGCCTCTCTGGCGTCGGTAGCATTGGTGCTCAGCACGGAAAACAAGATCGACGGAAAACAAATCAAAGGAAAAAAAAAAAAAAAAAACCATATATGGTATACTTAGGCTGTGTTCCATTTGGCGAATTTTCACTTAAACTTGACAGATGGAAAATTTTCAAATAAACCTGCTATTCCAGCAGACTTATATCTGACAGACAAGGAATCAATTTTGACACACACCTTCTCGAAAATTGGCCGATCAACAACAGAGGGATTTTTGAACATTATAATTTAGTTTCGAAGTGTCAAATTTAAGTGAAAATTCACCAAATGGACCACAGCCTTAGTATACGTAGAATAATTCTATACCAACAATTCTAGACAAACAATTCAAAAGGTCCTATCCGTCATTGAAGCTGATTGGAGAAAAATTTATTTGAATTTTTGCAATATATTTTTAAATGCCATTTTTAATTACGACATAAAACGATAATCTTTTGTTTTCTCAAATGCATAGGAAACACATAGAGTTCGACTGAAGTGTATGTTTTTTCGTTTTATTCATAATTTTCAGGTTTAATTCGTGGTTTTGTTACATAGGACCTTTGGCTTTTTTCAGTATCAGTTAGGACCTGTCAAATTGCTCTGATTGCAAAGATTAGTGTTACTTAGGACCTTGGTAAGAATACGGTTTAGAGGTCAGATAATTACAACTACAACATTATTTGTAATTGTTGATGGGCTTAAAACTACTATTCTGCCAATTTATTAAGTAAACAACGAACTTGTCCAATTTTTTTCTGATGTATGCAGGATAAATGTAAGTGTATGGAAAATTAGCATATTTTTTTAATATTCGGTAAAAATTTTGATATATATGATATAATTTTGATATTGAAATAGGCGGAACAATCAAACGTAGACAGTGGTTTTAAGGCTAGCTTTAAGGGGAAGCTCACCGGCCCAAAAATAAAAAAAATATTTTCGGTACGTTTTTATTTTTCTAAAACTATTGGGAAAAATTATCAAAAATCCAAGAAAATCAGTTTCTTCCTTAGATTTTTGTCAAAAATTACATGCAACAAATTTTTTTCTATCCCATCATTAAAATAAAATTGGACTCTCAGAAAAACCGAAAAGTTGATGTTTTGGGGTTTTTTGAGTCCAACTTTATGCCATAATGACTTATAAAACATGTTTTTGCACGTGAATTTTCTTTAAAAAATTAGAAAAAATGTGATTTTTTTAGATTTTTGATACTTTTTTTCAATATTTTTAGAAAAATCAAAACGTAATTATTTTTTTTCGAAGCGGTGAACTTTCCCTTAAGGGGATGTTTACGGACCCGAAAATAAAAAAATATTTTGGTACGTTTTTATTTTTCTAAAAATGTTGGGAAAAATTATCAAAAATCCAAGAAAATCAGCTTCTTTCTTAGATTTTTGTCAAAAATTACATGCAAAAATATTTTTTATATCTCATCATGAAAAAAAAAATTGGACCCGCAGCAAAACCAAAAAGTCGATGTTTTGTGGTATTTTGAGTCGAACTTTACGCCATAATGATTTATAAAAAATGTTTTTGCACGTGAATTTTCTTTGAAAAATTAGGAAAAATGTGATTTTTTTAGATTTTTGATACTTTTTTCAATATTTTTAGAAAAATTAAAACGTAATTATTTTTTTTCGGAGCGGTTAACTCCCCCTTAAACTCAAAATTTATCGAAAATCAAGGAACATCCACGCAATCTAACACCAGCATCTAAAATAGCAAACTTCCTTTATCGAATGGCATTTTTAGTTTTCGTGGGTGTGTTATGATTCTCGAGTAATTTGCGTTTATAGGCATTGTTTACGTTTGATTGTTCTGCCTTCTACAATTGATGGTCTAGAATTTTTCAGTAGTTCGTATACAAGAAACGTGCGTTCACATCTACCCGAGCATCTACCATGTCGTGAAATAGTTCACGGAAATTTTAATTGTAGTTACCACATTTAAGTAGAAATTACCATGCTCTGATCAGAAATCAAATAGTATTATCGACTATTGGCAGTAGATGAGATTTCTGCTGATACTAAGTATCTGAGATAAATTATGCATGTGCCATGCGACTGTATACACAAACCATTTCGATTATTTTCAACCACATTTTGTAGTCAAATCGATCGCACTGCACCGACAGGTCTTAGCTAACTTTATTGTACGGTTATTTGTCGGTGCATACAAAAATTCTAACATCGTTTTTTTTTTTAAAAAAACAAACCGCATTTCCGCTTCGATTTTTTTTACTGAGGAGCAAAATCATGAAATTTCGCTAGCCTAAAAGGTTGTGAGAAAATGTTGTAGAATATTTTCCAATTTCCTCTTTCTGCAGTTCACTGTTCACGTGAAACGAATTCGATCATTTTACACCTCCGGTGAAGTGAAAAGCTGACAGATACCCTCTTCTCGAAACGTCAACTTCTCGCTTGGTGAGCAGCTGCATGCATGCGTGAAAAAAGTAAAAGTATGCGAAAAAGATGCGATCCACAAAATTCACTACTGTGCTACCTGACTTATAACGAATATACATTACTTCACAACGAATATACGTTGTATACGAGTACCCCGAATGCAACGTATAGTTCTAGATAGTTCTGGAATTAGGGCGTAACAGCTTTTGTAAACATTGACTTCTCTCATTGATTTCTACCAACTCAAGGCACGCCTACACAAATCAACATATCCATCGGGTAGGAGAAGATTTTTGTGGGGCCTCACAGCCTAGTCAGTAAAGGCACGGTATTACCATAGAGGTAACTCTAAGACCACTGGGTCCCGAAGAAAATCATTATTATTTTTGGCTCACTCAGTACCAGAACAACGGTCCCAAGCAGTCCCAAGCTATTTCACTCACCCCTGCATGTTCTGCATGAATCCACACACCCCTGATGTTATCTGTCAAACTTTCATAGCGAATCAAAACATAGTGTAGTAATAGAATTTCAACTAGAATAGGGTACGTTAATCGTTTGCTTGGGACCAATAGGCTACTAAAGTGGTGAGCCAATTTAAAATCGTTAGTTTCGTATTGATTGTTGGTATTACCAAGCCGGAGGCAGCGGGTTCGATTCCCGGTCCGGTCAAGGGAATCTTTCGGGTAGGAAATTTTCTCGACTTCCCTGGGCAATAGAGTATCATTGTGCTTTCCACACAATATACAAATTCATGCATTGGTATCGGCATCGAAAGCTCTCAATTAATAACTGTGGAAGTGCATTTATAGAACACTAAGTTGAGAGCACGCAATAAGCTAATATGCGCTAATAAGCTTGAAATGCGAACAAGAAGAAGAAGAAGGAGAAGTCTTTCCCTATTCGATGGTAATGTTGATTTGCCAGGGAGAGTCATGTCTTTCAAGAAATCATCGAGAGAAGCCATTGTTTACAAAAGCTGTTACGCCCTAATTCCAGCTCTATCTAGAGTTGGTCTAACTTCCCGCATAAACAATAACAATAAGATGCGCCTAACCACCGATTCGGGATATCATCCCAATTTTATGTGGTATGGTCGCACCATCTAAGATATCGTCAGTATATGGTACACGTTTATTAGGGTTTACATTGCAAATGCTATGCAAAATTAGACGAGCCGACGGGGTACTCATAGAAAACAACTATTTTGAATGGTAATGGTTCTTCACAACCCATTATTCGTAAGGTTCATTTCCAAAGAACCATAATACATAAGGTTAAAACTTTATCACACAAACGTTCATGTAAAGTTCCATAACCATTTCATTTAAAGTTTAGCAGGGATTATAAACAATTTTTAACCATTTTCTGTAAGGTCAAGTTCGAGGTCAAGTTATGGTTCACGTTTATGCGGGAAGACATGGCGGCTTTTTTCTCTACTGGAAAATCCAGTAACCAAATGTCAATCTTTGCGTAAAAATGCCATGTCCACCATGTTTCGTAGCCGCGAATTCAAAAATGTTGAATCCAGGGTTGAATCATTAAACATCTATTATAATACGTATTTTTAAATCTGCTGTTCGAAATATTTCATCTAAAGATTCTCGGTGCCCATTAGACGCCAAAATCCCCGCAAATGCAGCTGCCAAACGTTTCACAAGTTTGTGTTTGTGCTGCAGTTTGACGCTTTTGTTTACCTGTTCCGTGACGAGGAGTTGTTAACCGAATTTTCTTCCTGTAACTTTTCCAATTTGTCCACCATTGAAGTTGAACAGTGCGCAACTTAGAACGTAAAGAGTGCCGAAATAGTTTACTAGTTTGCAAAATGTATTGCTGCATCCGCAGCTGCCCGGCCAAGTACGGTAAGGCTGCCGTTTCCTTTCACCGGTTTCCACAGAACAATGAAACCCGTCGACAGCGGTGGATCGAAGCGGCTGGTAGGGGCAATTGTATCAATTACGACTATGCGATGATTTGCAGTCGGCATTTCGTTGGAGGGCGCCCGGCTCGGGTTTCCGACTGCGATTCGGTCAGCTGGGTTCCGTCGCTACTGCTGGACAATGGCATGTCCGATGAAGACGCATTGGCTAGACGTCTGTCGGTTGACACGGGGGTGGTGGATAGAGGTGAGGTTTTTTTTTGGTTTATCGATTTAAGCGAAATTTAATGGGGGAAATTTTCTGTGCATTATCAGCTTCCATCCAAAATGATGACGGAGAGGAAGTTAACTGCGCGGTGCGGGGTTGCGGAATGACCAAGGAGGAAAACCCTTCGCTGTTGTTCTTTTCCGTTCCGCGAGATGCGGGTGATCGTCGGAAGTGGCTTGTGCAGATCGGAATGCTAAATAATGCGATCGAAATAAACAAGAATAATTTCCTGGCCGTTTGTGAATTACATTTCGACGTAAGTAGGTTCAGTTTTCAATGGGTGGAGATTATTAATATTGAGTGGATTTTGCAGCTCGCAAAAGATTTGCTCAATTACGACGACGTAATTACCATGGGAAGTTCCGCCATGCTACAGGAACACGTAATGCCGACACGGAACATCCCGACCGTGTTTGGTCACCAAAAGGTGCGCTTCACTCACGAAGCACCTGATAACCCGACGTCGATTAAGCATGAAACTCAGAAACCGGAAGAGGATGACGATGAAGATGATGATGATGTAATGTTGCTGGAGGAAATGGGTGAGCGTAACGGGGAGGAACACGGGATGCCGGAATATCCATCGCATATGCAACCAAGCCCGGTAGAAGAGTTTGTACAGATCTGTCGATCCTGCTTGAGCACGGACAAGACGAATCTCGTGTCTGCTTATGATGATCGACTCGCTGAGATATTTTTCCAATTTACAAATGTTAATATTGACGAAAATGACGGCATTTCCACCATGATCTGCGTTGACTGCAAGTCTAGGCTGTTGGATATACACTTCTTCCGAGATACTTGTGTAACGAACACGCAAATCTTGATCCATCGCTATCAGAAATGCTACGGAATGGCACCGGATGGTGGAAACAATGACCAGCAACATAATGAAATCATGCAATACGATGACGAAGAAGTCACTTCTCAATATGTGCAAAGTCCAACCAAGTACAATCGCTACGACATGGGAGCGGATGATCCGGAAGATCTGCTGATGCCGCAGAAGGAACAACTAGAGACGGTGTCGTGGAAACCAAAGCCAGGTAGACCGCGTAAACTAATCAAACCGGAACCGGTTCCATTGAAAAAACCTACGAAGGTAGTCCCGCAGATTGCCACCATGAAAAAACGATTCAAGTGTAAATTTTGCCGAAAGGAATACAATTCTCGACCAGGATTTGATATGCACATGGTACGTGAAGCAAATTGACAGCTAACTATTCATATAATGCCAATCTTCTATTGCAGGCAACTCACAAATACCACAGCCAGAGTGAGTTCATAATTGAGTGTAAGCGGTGTGACGTCCGGTCGCGCAAGAATGAAGTTCATCGCTGCTACACGGACATCCTGTACTGCTATGTGTGCGGTGAGCAATACCGCAAGTGGTCTTACCTAAAGCTCCATTTGGCAAAAGTGCACAAGATCAAAACCAAACGGCTAGAATTGATGCTAAAGCTTAAGGAGATGGGCTACGTGGGCGGATCCAGGGCAAATGCTTTGAAAATGTAAGTAAGACTGTTGATCATTTCCCTCTTTATTACTAAATCCCATTCGTTCCTTTAGTCCTCCCAGTAACCGTCGCATACCACAGGACTCGGATAATGAAGTCGAAATAAAGGTTCCCGTGGAGGATCCCGATTCGGAAAAATCCAACAGCGCCCACAGTGACAGAAGTTCCCCGACCGATCTAAGGCCGAAATGTAGCTTCTGCGGGGTAAGCTTCCGGCAGAACTCCTGTTTGGAAATGCACATGAAAACGCACAGCGCCATCGAGCTGACTCAGTGCAATGAATGCGACTCGAACTTTAATGCCTACAGGCACCTAGAGCGCCACCACGAAGATCATGAAGATGAAAACCCACTGGACTCGAGTGTAAAATGCCGGTTCTGTGGCAAGAATCTGAAACGCAACCAAACACTACTGCTCCACTACCAGTACGTCCACAAGGACAAGGATGTTGTTCAATGCAGCACTTGTCCGCAGTTGGTTGAAAATGCCACACAGCTCGCCAGGCACACTTGCAGTGGACAGGAGAAGAATATCTTATCCTCATCGGCAGCTACCGCCACAACCACCACCACCACCACCACCAACGGGGACTTTATGATTATCCAACCGGAATCGATTCTCAAGGGCGCGTCCACTTCCATCACAATGAATGACGACTCGAACTCGGTTCCAGTTGGGCTGCATGGAGGAGACGGCGCCGATCCGCTGCTCGGATTGGGCAACGACGAGGTTATTGAACTTGACTCCGACACCGACGACGACGACGATGAATCTAGCCGCGAAAAGCCCAGTTTTGATTGTTCCGTTTGCGACAAGACATTCGAAAAGGAGGACACCCTGGATCGCCACATGAAACTGCACCGTATGATGAGCGCTGCCAAGGCCAATGAAATTGGACTGCGGAAGTAAGTATATGTGTCTTGTGTGTCAGCGTGCGTGCGTATTGTTTTCAGAGTATTCACGGGCGATTTTATTGAATGTACTAAACATTGATTGCACTTTTAGGAGAAGATTCAACTTATATATGTATGAAAATCTCTATTCCATTATGTATTAGACACTAACTTCATTTTGCTTGTAGTTGCTTTTTCAGAGCTATGAATTGCCGCCCGTGAAGTATCACAGCCCAGCTTCTAGGTAAGCCAAACTCATCTATTTTAATTTGTCGCGTTCCGTAATTGTGACAGTTGGATCACTTTAAAATAAACCGTATGGTTTTGACACTCAATTACACAATTGTTAATTGATCAGTATAATACAAACAACACAAATCCGCTTCAAATTTGTTATTTAATATATTATTAAATTGTCATGTAAACTTTTAAGACACATTAAACATCGCGTGCCCTCCAAAATATAAAATGTCACCCGAAGCTAAATCTTGGGACTGCCAGCATATTTAGTGGAATCTTTCCAAAACGAAGCCGAAAAGCATTATCTCAGTGCAAACATCTCTTTTGGCAGTGCAATAAAAATCGGAAATTAATTTCCTTTTGGAGTTTCCACATCATACATCCTGGGATAATCAACTTGTGGACGCATCAAAACGACAGGTTTTGGCAAACGTAGCCACTAGTAGCATATACGACTCCCTCGACATGGAAGCAGTGTGCCTCTACAACATCCCGCTGTCCGGCTATTTTCGTCTACGGGAAAACGGTGACCGATGTCAACAAACGGTTACATCAATAAACATCGACCAGAAGGAATATATTCTCCGTCTGAACAAAGGCAGCATACAGGTTGCTGTAAAATCGAAACATCACTTCGTCGCCCTAATGGAAGTATTGAAATCCGAAATCATCCAGTTCTACACACGAGGTACCAGCGATGAGATTCCCGTTCTGGCCTTCCTCTTTTTGAGGTCAGGGAATTGGTAATCGAACTTAAGAACAACGCAATTGAACCTTCCGAGGTGAAGTTTTTGGCGTCGTCCAAAACAGGTGATAACGCATTTTACCTGCTTCAGTTCGCTAAGGGTTCCGTCAAGTAGCAGAAGCTTAGAAGAATTAGATCACTATTTAACGTCATCGTCAGCTGGCATGTGTACATACGAAAAAAAAAACCGACGCCGTTCAGTGCTTTAGGTGCCACGGCATGCGAAACTTTAACCTTCAAGCCAAATGCGTGACAACACACACCAGTGCCAATTACCGACAAAACCCGAACTGAATAACAACGATGAAGCGAACATAAAATCAAAAGTTCGTTGTGTCAATTGTAATCAGAATCACACTGCAAACTACAAAGGCTGTCCACACGCTTGAATTACCACATCAAGTCGCTGGAGTCTAAAAACAAGAACCGATTCAACAAGTCAGTACTTCCCCCTACGATGTGCTGTCTGCGATAAAGATTCCTGGTGGGTCTTACGCGAATGTTGTCAGGAACAGTTCAGAAACAAGCGAGGACCAAGTTCCAGTAAATTCGCCTGAAAATACATTGTCTACTGTCGAGGAGTTCATGAAATTAGCAAATGAACTTTTCGCGAGGCTTTCAACGTGCCGATCAAAAGCCATGCAATTTCTCCCTTTGTCCGAACTCACCATTAAATACGTGTACAATGGATAATCCTAGGAGCTACACGAAATTGACGCCGCTACATACATCCATACATTTATTTGTACAACATCACATTTAAGATAAGACATAATCAACAATACTACACCACAATACTCGGTTTGCGGCTGCCGCTCTCCATCCTCGGTCATGTCCAATGCTCGCTAGATCACGCTCTACCTGGTCCGCCTATCGTGCTCTCTGCGCTCCACGCCTTCTTGTGCCAACCGGATTAGTAGCGAACACCAACTTTGCAGGGTTGTTGTTCGGCATTCTTGCAACATGCCCTGCCCACCGCATCCTTCCGGCTTTGGCCACCTTCTGGATGCTGGGTTCGCCGTAGAGTGCAGCGAGCTCGTGGTTCATTCTTCGCCGCCACTCACCGTTCTCCTGTACACCGCCGAAGATCGTCCTTAGCACACGTCGCTTGAAAACTCCGAGTGCTTGCAGGTCCTCCTCGAGCATAGTCCATGTCTCGTGTCCATAGAGGACCACCGGTCTTATTAGCGTTCTGTACATGGTACATTTGGTGCGGGGGTGAATCTTTTTTGACCGTAGTTTCTTCTGGAGCCCGTAGTAGGCACGACTTCCACTGATGATGCGCCTTCGTATTTCACGACTCACATTGTTGTCAGCCGTCAGTAAGGATCCAAGGTAAACGAATTCCTCAACTACCTCGAAAGTATCCCCGTCTATCGTGACGACAGTACTTCCTAGACGACTTCTGTCATGTTCTGTTTCGCCTACTAGCATGTACTTTGTTTTTGACGCACTCACCACCAGTCCGACCTTTGCTGCTTCGTGTTTCAGCCGGGTGTATAGTTCTGCCACCGTTCCAAATGTTCTTGCGATAATGTCCATGTCGTCCGCAAAGCACACAAGTTGAGCCCGGCTCGTCGCATTACACCTTCTAGAGCGATGTTGAAGAGTAGGCATCGCAGTCCCCGGCGAGATTCGAATGAACTGGATAGTTCACCCGAAACCCTTACGCAGTTTTGCACACCGTCCCAGGAAAGCCGTTCTCGGCGATGATTTTCCATAGCTCTGTGCGGTCGATACTGTCGTATGCCGGCTTGATAACTTTCCACGAACTCGGTCATTTTAGGTGATAAACGACGGATGATCTGGGATAGCACTTTGTAGACGGCATTCAAAATGGTGATCGCTCTGAAGTTCTCACATTCCAAATGGTCGCCTTTCTTGTGAATGGGGCAGATTACCCCCTCCTTCCACTCCTCCGGTAGCTGTTCTGTTTCCCAGATCCTGACTATCATCCGGTGCAGGCAGGTGGCCAAGTTTTCTGGGCCCATCTTGATGAGTTCGGCTGCGATACCATCCTTACCAGCTGCTTTGTTGTTTTTGAGCTGCTGAATGGCATCCTTAACTTCCCTCAGCGTGGGAGTTGGGTCAGTTCCGTACTCAGCTGCACTGACGTAGTCGTTTCCTCCATTGCGCTGGTCTCCCGTGCCTACGTTCTCCTCGCCATTCAGGTGCGCATCGAAGTGCTGCTTCCACCTTTCAATCACCTCACGTCCGTCCGTCAAGAGGCTCCCGTCCTTACCCTTGCACATTTCGGCTCGCGGCACGAAGCCGTGGCGGGATGCGTTGAGCTTCTGGTAGAACTTCCGTGTTTCTTGGGAACGGCACAGCAGTTCCATTTCCTCGCACTCCGCTTCTTCCAGGCGGCGTTTTTTCTCCCGAAAGATGCGGGTCTGCTGTTTCCGCTTCTGTTTATACCGTTCCACGTTCTGTCGGGTTCCATGCTGCAGCATTACCGCCCGCGCTGCGTTCTTCTCCTCCAAAATCGCTCTGCACTCCTCGTCGAACCATTCATTCCGTCGACTTCTTTCCACGTACCCGGTTGTGCTCTCGGCTGCGTCGGTGATGGCTGCTTTTACTGTACTCCAGCAGTCCTCTAGAGGGGGCACATCGAGCTCGCCCTCCTCTGGCAACGCTGCCTCGAGATTCTGCGCGTATGCTAAGGCGACATCCGGTTGCTTCAGTCGCTCTAGGTTGTACCAACAATCAAAACGAAACTAACGATTTTAAATTGGCTCACTACTTGACTAGCCTATTGGTCCCAAGCAAATCGATTACGTACCCCATTCTAGTCAAAATTCTAATACTACACTATGTTTGTTTTGATTCGCTATGAAAGTTTGACAGATAAAATGAGGGGTTAGTGGATTTTCCTATGTTTCGAGGGGTGAATCGATTAGCTTGGTACCGAAGACAGTACCAGAGCTGAGCCAAAAAGTTGAGCACGTTTCTTCGGGACCACTAGTCTTAGAGTTACCTCTATGGTCGTACCGTGGCGGGCGTCAGTACCGTACATTGTTGATGACGGAAAGTTTTGGGCGCAGTTTGACCATCACCAGGTAGTGATCAGAGTCGATGTTAGCGCCACGATAGGTCCTGACGTCGATAATGTCGGAGAAGTGCCGTCCATCAATCAGAACATGGTCAATTTTCGATTCCGTCTGCTGTGGTGATCTCCAGGTGTAACGATAAGGGAGGCTGTGTTGGAAAAAGGTGCTACTTATGGCCATGTTCTTGGAGGTGGCGAAATCGATGAGTCGTAGGCCGTTCCCGTTCGTCAGCTGGTGAGCGCTGAACTTTCAAATCGTCGGTCTGAATTCCGCATCCTGGCCTACCTGAGCGTTTAGGTCTCCTATGATGATCTTGACGTCGTGGCTTGGGCAGCAATCGTACTCGCGGTCGAGCTGCGCGTAAAATGCGTCCTTTTCATCATCAGTGCTTCCGGAGTGAGGGCTGTTGACGTCGCTGTAATCACCGAAACTTCGTTATCCTTATTTCACGAATCCTACCCAAGTGTTCGCCTTGATCGTCACACGCCGGAAACTGATCGCGGAGGAGGTGTCGCCATCGCAATCAGAAAAGGAATTCCTTTTCTCCAAATCGACAACATAACAACAACAGCTGGGGAAGCAATGGGAGTTACAACAGATGTAGTTCCAGTCAATATAGTCGCCCCTTTTTCCCCTGGCTCAAACCGCTGTAGATGTTACATTCACTGCCTCAAAAGATTCCCCGAGCCGTTTTTCGAGAGACTTTAATAATTCTCGACACAGTATGTGCAATTGTGCAAAGGCACATAAAGCAGGAAAAATTCTCTGGAAGGAATACTACTACTACTACTACTACTATTGTCAGCTACACGTTACCCACCAGGGAGAGGTAGAGCATCCACCTTAGACCTAGTGTTATCGAACTCAGAATCATCTCCCAGTGTTGCTCAGTATATGTAGATTCCGCCGTCCCTTCCGGTGCCCCGGAACGATTCTACCGTTGCTACGAAACAGCAAACCGGATCGATGAAAGTATCAACGCTACACACGAATTGACCAACGAGCTGGATGACACCAGGAAAATCGGTGAAGCCATCGAACGCATCGGTGAAATTATTTCTAAATCCGAGGAATCCAGTGTGCAATGAGAACGATCCATGAGGCAAATTTACTCATCGCTGAGTTCCTGCACTTTATGTGATTTATGGTTAAGTTAAACCGAAGACATCATATCAAAAAGACTGGCAACTTTGCCAGAATCCAAGCGACAGATTCAGTAGCGCTGCACTTGAGTGAATGTGGAAGCAACGCATAGAAAAATGAGCAACAGGATGTAATATTTGCTATCAAAATCGTTCGAAGCATTTACCTTTGAGCGTCAGCGGTCTTATGAGAAAATGGAAGAGTTGCCAGTCTTCTTGATATGTTGTCTTCGGTTAAACTCAAATTTGGGTCGTTCTCATTCGCCGTGCAGGAAAAAAAAATCGCGAATATGAGA